CTTCAAAAATACATCTGACTTGAAATTGGACCCACGAATGCCGAGTTTCATTAACCTAGCATTAATATTTTTCCAAATATTTAAAATTAATTTCGGAGTTGTATGGCAGCTACCCGAACCTGTCAAGCAATTCCACCAAAACTTCAGGAATATATCTGGCCTGAAATGGGACACACGACTGCCGATTTTTCAAATATTTAAAATTAACTTTCGGAGTTGTATGGCAGATACCCAAACCAGTGCAGCCATCCATTAAAATTTTCAGAACATATGTGAAGTGTAATTGGACACATCTTTGCAAAATTTGATATTTGCAATTATTATAATTAAATTATTGTAAACACTACGGATCATAAGTTGGCTCAATGTATGGGGCTAGCTTATCTGTATAGTTAGTGATTTATATTAATTACGCATATTTAAACCAATCAATTCGGCCAAATAACTACAAAATATTTTTTTATATATGTAAGTATTGAATATTTTTTAATTAAAATTTCTGAATTCTTATAACGTCATTGCTACTATAAAATTTTAAAAACTCATAATTCTGCCAGTTTGCTTTACTTTGGCCTACAATTCTTTTACTTTAATTCTTTTAATTCTTCGTTCAATTGTTTCAGTAACATACTTAAAAACCGGATTTTTTGCAAATCTCATTTGTATAGGGATTAATTAATTTATTATGTGATGTAATAAGTCTTAAATAAGAATATTATTTGAAATAATTTATTTTGTTAAGCGTTGAGATGTTAAATAAAGGGTAAATTTAAAAAAAGTGTCATTATATTTTACATTTTTGAGTAAAATAAGGGATACCAATAAATTTTTCATTGGCGAAATTAAAAATAAGTTCAAAGATAAATAATATTGTATGAACTTGAGATTGTTTTTATCGCGACTGTTACAAGTTCGTAAAGAAATTATTTTATTGAAAAAGACTTTGCTAATTCAATTTTACAAACATTATTTATGATACTTTACATTTGTAATTTCAAACTAAATATCCTTAGTTTTTTCTACTTTAATATAAATATTTAAAATTTTTTACATTAATATTAAAATTTTAGCTAATATCAAGTAATAAAACCATAAATTTTCCTAGTTTTCATGCTGACTGTGTTCAGCAATAATTTAATAATTTTCACAGTTGGGTCTGCTATATTTATAAGTAAAATTTACACAATAACATCTATGCGTTTTTCTTAAGCAAATATGTAAGTACGTGTGTATTTATATATTATTTTATGATTGTGATATTATAAAGCCAAAAACTGTCAACTTTCAGACGCCATAATATATTTCTTTAGTCTTTGGTTTTAAATTGAAAAATCAATTTAGAGTATGGAGAAGAAGTGAATATATTCATAAAAAAATATAAAAACAAAATAATTGTATACTGAAGAAGAAAATAAAGAGAAAAAAAATAAAAAAATAAATTTTCGTTCCACTAGATTAAAGTTACGCATTTCTGTCGTTTTTTTTTTGTTTTTAACTTTTAAATTACTCAAATAATATTAATGTGTTTATGTATATCAATATTTTTTTGACTATATAAACGCAAACATACATACATTTTATTGTTTTTGTATATTATATTTATATTGTAATTTATGGCCATAAATTAGAAGACTATTGCTGTAATAAAAGTAATTTAAAGCCTCAAGGATATGAGGAAACACATTTTTAAAAAAACAAAATTAAAATAATATAAGGAAAGTGATTCTAGTTTTTTATTTAGTACATTTATATGTACGTCGAAGCTGAAATACAAAATTTTAAATTTTGTTATGCCTGCATAATTTTCATAAGCTATTTATTTCTTTTCCCGCTTAATAGTTTCAAATATATCCTTATGAGATACTTGGTTTAAATTTTTATTCATATAAATATAAACTAATTTTGTATTCACAGTTTAATTTGAGATTAACGTTTGAAATTTCAGAAATATGTAAATGAAGAGAAGCATCATTTAAGTTATTTTTTTGAATAGAGACTTGAAAATTGGCTTTTATTTGCTTTTAAAAAAGAAAAATTTTTTTTACAAAAATTCAATATTTTTACTTTTTCATTTGAAATAATTTATTAATTTCAATAGCTTTAAGTTAAGTTTTTATTCGCAAACTTCTCATGATTTGTTAAACGCATATCCTATGTAAAAATAAAATATTTCCCATAGAATATATTATATATAAATATGAATCTGAAAAAGAAAACGAAACAAATGTACCAATATACCCTTGGGTTTGTAAAAGAAACTGTTATTCTTTTCCTGAAAACCATGCCAGTTAAAATTGATGATATTGCCATTTCAAAATTAAATGATAGCCGTAGAACACATAATTATATTGATATATGAACAACTTGCAGCAATTTGTGTATGTGGAACATAACATAGTTGAAACTGTGAAAAAATAAGCACTCAAATCGAGTATAGGGAGGATACGAAAATTCTTAAAAAAATTTCACTTTCGCGTTTCATAAGTATTATCTAGCAATTACAGGATTTCGTTTTCAGAATTTCAAATTGATTATTAATAGAAAATGCAAGAGTTTGCCAAATTCAACTCGTCTAAGTCAGAAAAATCTTATGTAGGTTTCATTGTACAATATTCTATGTGTGCATATATTAATATTATGTTCATGAAAATAGTTAAGTTTACTAATTTATATTGCAAGAAAAAATTATACGAACAATATTTTACTGGCACAACCACTAATGTGTAGTAAAGGCATAATGTATATGGGCTTTTATATCATTTTAATCATTTAAAGTTTTAAAGTAATGAAAAATAAATTTCAGACAAAAAATTTAATTCTTTTCTCTTACGATAACTATGAATGTATGTATGCTTATACATGTGCCTATACGCCTATACGTATACGTATAATAAATGAGAGTATGTAGAATATTTTGCTTATAAATGATGTTTTTAAACAACTTTTATTGTTTCTCATAACATTTTTCAACTTTTTAAAAATAAAAAAAATGCAGAAAAAACTTACTCCAGTTTGCATACTTTTAGGCCTTTGGTGGTTTGTGGATTAAGTATGTTACGAAAAATAAAAACTTTACATGTTGTTTTTTTTTATTATACAATTACATACATACATATATTTATATAGACGTATTATAGATTGGTGTTGTATTTCAAAAAATGGAAATTACAGGGCTTGCCTACAAAAACTTTTACATTTTCTTTTTAAAAACATTCAAATAAGCCCAAAATTTTTTTACCATAATATTATATCTTATATGTGGGTACCAATTTGTAACATATTATAATGTATAGATTTTCGTTCGGGTATATGTAATGTATGCATAATATAGAATAAAAATACAGCACACAATATTTATATATTTAAAAGAAAAGTAAACTTTTAAAGGTTATTTTTGGAGAAAATTTATTTCATATAATGTTTATCTCTTGAAATAAATTAAAACAAAGTAAGTAGATATGTGCATATTATCTATATGCAAATAAAATTATTGTTCATGCTCTTTCACGTTAAATTTTAAGAATTTAGTACGAGTATTACGATAAATGCTTCTTTACATGTACTATACGAACAGTAAGGGCCTTTATATTTTTCCTTTAAAAACAACATTTTCCATTTTACTGTTAAAGCTATAAAAATATTTAGATACAATTAATAAATTAAATGACGATTAAAAATCCAGATGTGTATGATTGCTAAACAAAAATTTACAGTTCATATTTGGTTTCTTTTCTTGACACAAAAAATTTGTATAAGATACAAGAAATCAAATTTTGATTTTGAAATTTTGGAAAAATTTAAAACAAGAAATTTTTTTGCTTTTAATTTTTAAAAAACATTGAAAATTTGAAAGCAACATGAAATAAATGAATATGAATTCATATGCGAGCAATACGAAATCGAAAAAAACTAAAAAAAAAAGAACATTTATTTTTGCAGTTTTATTTTTTAAAATTTTCATTACATACCTGCTTAGAGAATACAAACCGTCGGTCCAGATACAGCTATTTATATAAATTTTCAGGAGATTCAGGAAAACTGCTCATATTATTATAAAAGAAGATAGGGTAATGAAATGAAAGCAAAATACTTTAAATAATTTTATTAATAGATCCTGGTAAAAACTAGAATTTTCTCCTTTCAATTACCAAAAAAATGGTAATTAATACTGTAAGTCGACAGACTACCGCAAAGTAAATAACATTCTTAGTGCAAACGTCTTCTATTGTAATACTTACAATAAAAGACATTCCGCAATCTGTGTTCTAAATGTGCGAATTAGTTTATGTCGATTTGCAACATTTAGTGTAAAATATTAGAGTAAATATTGTATATATAAATGCCATATTATAAAAAGCAATGTTTTCAAATGTAAGAAGAGTTAGAACAAATGAATTTTTTATTAAAATATTGTAACTCTCTTTACAAAAACTTAATGTTTTTTGATTATTATTGCAAGTTTAGTTAAAACTCTTCGCGCATTATAAATGTAAGTTAACAAATACTAAAAGATTCACAATAATTTATTAATGTAAATCACTTTTAAATATAATGTTCCGCAGAAACTTAGAAAACTTTTATTGTAAGTGTACATAGAACAGTTGTATTTGAAATCGTCGAAATTTATATTTATTAAGAAAAGCAAAATTTAAAATAATAGATCAACGAAATGAAATCAAATATTTTGAGAAATTCAAATTTTACTGATCCAAATACAGGGAAAGATCCAAATATTTATTTAATTCTGAAATATTAAAAAAAAAATATTATGAAATTTCTAAATGCACAATTCAAGTTCAGCTAAATTATTATATAATGTTAAAGAGTTTTATAATAATAAAATTCAATAATTTTAAAACATTTCGAATAAATTTAATTTTAAATAAATTTAAAACTTCTTTTGTTGTGTAATAATATTATTTTTTTTTTAAAAGCAAAAATTTCATTGTCAAATAAGTAAATTTATTCCTTCCATCTTATTTAATTAATTTTTTTTTCAGGTAAATTAAATAATGAAATATCACACGGCAAAACGCTTTCGAATATCATCCGTTAAAAAAAGTAAGTATAACAGCACATATATTTTTAAGATGGTTCAAAGAAATTGTTAAACTTTGCGGTTTGTTGCACAAAAATTGGGGATTTTCAACTACCCAGAGATCCTCTATAGAAGAACTTTTGAAATTAAATTTAATAACTTTGCTTTATTAACCCAATAACTTTGCTTTAATAACCCAATTTTCAAAATTATTTTCACGATAGTGAAATGAATATGAGAATAATTGAAGTTTTTTTACTTACTTTATTTTAAATTTAGATGTGAGTAATTTTTTAATTAAGACTACAGTTTGTTAATAATTACAGTTGGACTTACATAAGGGAAACTCTCTATTTGCGAAACTTTTTACTTGAACCCTTTAATTTCCTTTTAATTTTATGAGGTTTTTTTTACAATTTCTATTTATGATTAAGTAGATTCTTTTTAAAGTTATATTTCGGTTACTTGAAATTTTTCCCATATTAACATTTTACTCGTTCAATACATGCCTACATTTCAGTTTTTCTGAGCATCAGATAACTTCGAATCTGAATAGGTTTTCTTTTCTTTCCAAAATTGTGTTAATTTTGTTTTATTGAACCATTCATTTAGTGTACTAAGGACAACGTTTTCCAATTTAGTGTACAGTTTAAGAAAAATGCACACAAAATTCATGAAGTAGGCTTTTTTGTCTTAAATTTAATAAAAAATTCAAGAAAAGATGTAAGTGAAATTTGGAAAATATCAAATATAATTTTTCAAACTTAATATACATACATACATACATACGTAGATATTCATTATGCCTTTAATTAGTTCAAAATTAAATAAATTCATTCAAATTATATTAGCAATTATCAAAATTGATAAGTTAGAAAAAAAGAAAAAAAAAGCTGAAATTTAATCATAAAAATTTTCTAACGAAATTTTCAGGTCCTTTTTCTTCTATTGTTTCAAAGAAAGCTGTTTCACTTCTATAATTTTATGTTTTTCCGTTTGATCTTTCTTCCATTCAACCATTCGTTATAGTCGTTTTTACATCAATGAATTTTTCTTTTATACTTGAAAGAATACTGTAAGAACAAACCAATTCTCCCGTACAAAAATGAAAAAACAAAACATGAAAATAATTTTTATGTGTGTGTACTTATATTAAATTAAATTTATAAAAATGTCCTTCAAATTAATTATTTATGGATTCAATAATCTTAGAAACTGAAGGAAGAGGATAAACAATGAAGAAATTAAAGAGAAATATTAAAAAAAATATGACAAAATAAAAACATTTTTAAAAGTACCTTAAAAATATCCAAAAACGGACCATAAAAACACCCTTAGGGCAAGTAGTGACGTTATTACATGTAATTTCAAAGTAAAATGTTTATTCCAAGCAACAAAATCCTTAACAGAAATTTCATTTTCAAAAGACAAAAGCAAGGAAAATTTTACAATAAGCAAGAGAAAATTCCAGAGATTTTTTTTTTATTTTTTTTATTTTTTTTTGTTAGAGATTATTTTCCTGTCAATACATGGTTTGTAAAGTAAAGTCTGTTTTCCAAATTCCAAAATGCCTGCTTGCCTACACCTTTGTTTTCGATAAAAATAATATTTGTTCAATATTTGTGGATGTAGGTGTATATTATATAAGAAATTATAGCCATAGAGATGCCATTTTAATATTATTGGACTGAAAAACTATTTTTATTTTAAAAGTTTATGTACTTAATTTAGAGTTTATTGTATTTGCATTTGCATTATTTCATTTGTTATTTCCAGTTTATTGAAAATTAAAATCGTTGGAAGAAATGGTTTATGGAAGATTGCAATCGGTGGGATTTTGTTTCAAAATGGTAACAAAAGTGTAGAAATGTCATTAAGGCTTTTCCTTTATTTTAACGCATGATCTAACCTTTTCTAAAACATTAAATTTTTTTCAAAGAATTCAAGTTTTACCTAGCGTTGGACTCAAATATGTAGCAAAACATATTTCATCTAACATTGAACTTCTAAAATAAAGCGTCAAAGTTATATATAATATTATTCTCGCATGAACAGCGCCTAAAATGTGGGGTACTTCCCGCTAAAGTACTCATTACGGGAAATTTTTTATTCCAGAAACCATTAAAAAAAAGTAACTGAGTTGCAGTATCAGATTCTGTGTAAAATTGGGTTATTGCTTTTGTAGTTTGAATTCATTATGTTGTTATGGGAATTTTAATAATTTTATTTAACAAAATAATTCTGGTGCAGAAATTTTAAAAGGTTTAGATCAAATTAAAAACATTTGACAACTAAAATCATTGACATGACATTAGCATTAACAATACTATATACATTAGTTATTTTGCTTTCGCGAGGTTATTTCAATCTTAATATTAAGAATATTTTCTATTTGCTAAAAGTAAAATTAATTTAAAATAAGAGTTGGGTTTTCTAAACCAAAAATGCGACAATTTTGTCGATTAGTAAAGCCATCAAGATGAAAATGAAGATGATCTTGTTCGAAAAATTTTCATTATTTGCAAAATATTGCTCAACAAAAAAAAATGCGTTGTTCTTTTGTGTAGCGTTCCATTTTTTATAACCCTGAATTGTGAGCTGCCACTCTGTATGTTTTTTTGGTTGGTAACACTTTACCGCACAAATGGCGCGAAATTCAAATCTTGCCTGAATTTTGGGTAACCCTTTATTTTTTTTGCATTTCTGGCATATCTAGCTGATTAAATTTTTTTTAGAAAAAAGCAATAAAAAGCTGAAAGATTTTAAGAAGAGAGTTAATCATGTCAACTCTTCAATAACCGAAGAAAGTTGTTGTCCTATGGCTGAAAGTGTGTGGTAGCTACAACAAGAGTCATGAGAATTTAACAACTTCTATTACATATAACAGCCCCAATAACATATGTACATGATTGCTGAAATTTTCTCTATACCAAGTTTGTGTAAAATTTCAGTAACTATTAAAGTTGTCCTTGTGGAAGCTACCATAAGAAATCAAGAACTTTAAATGATTTTTACTGGACGTACCAATAATATATTTGCTTAGGCAATATTTCGATAATATAATTCCAATAATTGCTTCAATAATTTTTGAAATAAAGTCAAATAATTTTGGCATCTAGTATTATTAATCATTTCTGAAAATTTGGTGAGCTTAGCACAATTAACTCTTGAATTATCAATGTGACAGGCGTGTAGACAGAAGGACAGAAATGATTAAATCGACTCAAAGTTGAAAGAATTGAAAGCTGATTTAATATACACTCATGCTTATATCTCAGATCTCTTAGATCAGATTTTATAGTGTTACAAATGTTTAGGCAAATTTATAATACCCTTCCAACATAAACAGAAGCACAAAAAATGAAAATAATAACCTGAATGCTTAAGAAACAAAGAAGGACTAACTTTAGGGAATTTTTATCTATATTTTTCTTCTTCCCTTATGTTAAGATTTCATTAAGATACTCCCAACGATTTGACAGTAAAACATTTTGAATATTTCTAAATATAAAACAAAAATTGCCTATGAAATAGCACTTTTTCCGATTGCTTATGAACTAGCACTTTTTCCTTGAACAAATGAAAAAACTTTTTAAAAAAAAAATATGTCTACTTAAATTCTTAGTTGTGATTCTCATTTATACATTAAAATAATATTAAAATAAAAAAAAATATATTGCATACTTTTTGGAATATTAATTTATTTACATAGAAAAAGTATGTAGTTTGCTTCTTTAGAAATAGTTTTCTATATAAGGCCATACAATTTTTTTAAATAGACGCACAGACAGAGTAAAAATAATAAGCAATTTTTTCTTTAATTTTGTTGAAAAAGAACTAAAAACATAAGACTAAAAACATACATACGTTTCCCATATATAATTTTCATATATATTTTGTAAGTAATAACAAAATTCTCAGTCCATTGTATTCTGACACAAGTATTTATGTGTAGACATTAAATCGATAATTCATTTGATAGAAAATGGTCATGAAAGGATTCTCTTTTTCATTCATTTCTTTAGCTATACATATCAAATCGTACATTATACTTATAAAATCACTTATTCACATACAGTGATTCCAGAATTGAAGTGTGCATTTGAGTTTATATGAAATATTATTAATGAAGTTTTTATCAAAATTATCGTTTTATTATTATTTCGGCAGAAGCAATTGCTTGCGTAGATAGAAACAATTTAATTGCGTACATATTTGCTTTTTTATTTTATTCTATAAATTTATATAAAAGTGTTAAATAACAGTTGCTCTCACTGTGTTTGAAAAGATTTAAAAGGAAATCAAATTTTCCTTTAATCAGTTTACCACAACTTATTATAAAAAGAATGCCTTTAAATAGTTCATACATTTGGAAGTAAACAGTATATTTCAACATGGTTTTTCGAAAATATTTTTGATGCAGTAATTAAATACTAAATTCGAAAACATTATGCTAAGTATACTAAATGTTTAAATTACATTTTAATATTCTTACTATACCATTTTCACAAAAACTTTTATAAATTCAATTTTAAATCTTCTCGAAAATTTTTTTTGTAAATAAAAATTAATTGTTCGAGCACTGTCATAGAAGATCAGCGTATATTCATTAAAAGAAATAACACAGAGTCCTAGGATTTTCTAATGTAGTGATTTCAGATATATTATTTTCATCATTAATATGAAAAGTTCAAATATATCCAAATTCTAGATAACGTAAAATTATCTTATTTATCATGAATTTGTAATCAAACTCTTCGTTGGTTAGAAATTTAGAAAGAACTGAAATTAAACACCGTTTGGTATCTTTATTTCATTATTGGAATTTACTCATATAGAAAGCGATCAGAAAACAAAAGGAAACTACTTACAAAAATTTTTTTCGTCTTTTTATTGTGTAAGTCTTTTAGTTTATTTTTTTCTTTTGTTCATGGTTCATGGTATTGAAAGAATTATTTTAAAAAAAAAATAAATGGGCACCAAAAGTCATTTATTAACCAATTCTGACATTGTTTTTTTTAAA